GTTCTGGAGGAATACTACGATGAGTGCCAGTCGTGGGGTGAGCAGCCTGGTGACCAGAAGCTCGGCCAGTGCATCCAGAGATATGGAGAGACCCCTCTTACCCTCTGGCCCTCTCTGTACCAGATGGACATGAAGGGTGAGGTTGACGGTGTCTACGAGTCTGGCCGCAAGATCGAGTCTCTGCACCACTGGAACAGTTGGTACACCAAGGATGTTGTTAAGATGACCACTGTGGCTGCCGCTGCGGGTCGCCGCTCGGTTCTGCGCCGCTGGGTCTTTGACCAGGAAGAGATTGTCAACAACGCTACTGGTCGCTCCACCCGTACTTTCTGGGTGTTCACCAACGGATACTCGCTCGTCAAGTACACCTACGATGAGAACACTCCCGATGATGCGATCAACTTTGACCACACTGAGAAGACCTGGGAGGAAGACCCCCGTGGTTACGAGGCCCGCCTGGGACCCCTCCGCAACCGTGATCAGGAAGGTGTCACAAAGGATCGTTGGTTGTTGCGTGATGCCTTCGTGGTTGGCGACAATGTGCACCAGTGGTATGTGCGTGAAGAAGACGAAGGCCACAGTGTGATCGAGATCGTTTGGCTCGGCCCCAAGGGTGGTGGCGGTGCCGGCGTCCGGGACTTTGGAGTCCGGAGGCAACATCACTAAAGTCCTTGGTCATGCAACTCAATGAGAGACCAGACGACCGATACTGAGGCTGGCCCTTGGGATCTGTGAAGCTTTTCGATTCTTGCACATTCTTCATTCCATTCCTTTACACTTTTCCAATTCCTTTTCTTCCTTTTTATTCTTCTAAACTTGATATTACTCTATATTTCCCTACGACACCACAACACTAAAGAAACAATCATGCCAATCTACACGGCGACAAGGAAAACAAGAAAAGTGAAGGTGGTGCGGGAATGTATCTCTTTCGGTCACCGAATCCTTCGGCCTCCCTGTTTTTGATCGATCATTTGCCTGGCGTTGTATTGGCGGAGTCAAGAATGGCGCAGTCCAAGATCGGAACTGGTGGTTTTCAGCGAAGAGCATACCTCGTTTGAGTCTCCCTTGATTGACCTGGCTACGAGCTCGTGGGATGGAATAACTCATATTCCCGCCCGGGGCCCATTGCTCACGATCCGACATATCCCATTCCCTTATTTCTCCCATTTTCCTTTTTTGCTGGCTTCCTGTCGAGGGCTGCTTTCTTGCATCAATTTTTTTGTAAAAATAGATTTTTGCCGGCCGAGCCGCGGTCGCTTGCTTGCTTTTGGAGATTAGCGCATTCGTCGTTATGGCAGAATATCACGAGTTCAAAGTCTTAGATTAGGGGGAAGATTATCTGTTAGTTATTAGCAATAGACCACGCACGCATGCTGCGGAATAATATGACTGGATTCACTGGAGAAATGTGTTCGTAATGGGTGGTTCGATTGATTGCGTAGGTCAGTTTGATGCTTGTTTCATGTAGAGTCAGTCAGTCACCACCAACCAGCCAGGCAGACAGCATTGTCCTCGGCAGTAGCACATTGCCAAGCAGTAGCAGTACTCTGCATCGGCAAAAGTACGAACTCACCAGATCAAACTATTCATATATTCTTAAACGAAGAAGCGTGAGTGGGAATAGATTGAAAGTACCAACAACCAACCAATCCACCAGACAGAGAGACAAACAACCATCCATGACAATTACACATACATGCATACGACCTTGTGTAGCATCCCATCATGCCGTCTAGGCCAAGCCAAGTACTACCTACGTACGTAGGTTTTTCCAAAAGCATGTATTCTACGCAGCGGTTCTTTTTCTAATTTGTAGTAACTCGAATAAGGCCCCAATCGGATCATTTCCTATTGATTGACTTACTCAGTGAGTGGCTGGATGGATGGGATAGATGGGATGGATATATGATGGGGGTGTTGGTGGTGTAGGTGAGGCTGATACATAGTTATACTTGGTGACTGATCCAGCTGTGTAGGTAGTCGTGAAAGAGAGGCACGGGCAGTGGGTTTGGTTTATAGTACGTGAATGAAGAAATATGATGGAATTGAAAGTAGGATAGATATATTGAATCTCGACGAATAGCACACATGGACAAAGATTATAATAATAATGATGACATGAAAAAAAAAAAATTTCCAGGCAGCTTAATCAATGACTCAATGCAAGACATAAAACGTCAGCATCAGCAAGATGATTAGAAATACAAAGAGCTGAAACCTGCGTACTTTGTTTTTTCCATGATTCTAATCCACATCGAATAATAGCATTGTGTGTGTCTCGTATTCTTCATTGTTATCACTACGAGGTTACATCCATCCCATCACATCTATCACGCTTCTGCCCAATCGATTTTGAGATATGCTAAATCCTCGCAGGGCTGAGAATGAACACACACCACCTTACCCTGTAAGGGAGAGTTCTGACGTCGGTCTCTTAGTTAATGATTCAGAGGGTTTGAAGTTACATCTGGGCGGCCTGAAACTTAATCCGGTTGAGTTGACTTTTTATTACTGGAAGTTTGCTGGAGAAGGATGATGATGGTGATGGATATTAGGTTTCGGGGGCCATGTGATGGGAAGGTAAAGCTACTTTAACCGGTTTCGGGGACTGTTTGGAGTTGGAGAATCAGGGTGTAGGTTGCTGTTTCATAGGTCATGTTACTTTTGGGGGTATTTTGTCGAGAGACAGAGAGGGTGTGTGTGTGTATGATGCTTATGGATGATACCATTGTGGCGTAGATCAGTGGTAGGTAGGGGATGAAGAAAAAGCCATATGTGGGTGAGATTTATGTTGATCATGACGATGGATGGAGTAATTTTGTCTTCTTCTCTTGCTTGCATGACCTGTATGTAGCAGGGAAGGTTATCTGGAATGGATGGTGCTAAGGTTCGACTTAGTATCTTGGAGTAGTAGGATTTGGTAATGTGTTGGGAGCTGAAAGTGCTAAGCTTTGATTGCTTAGAGTTCAGCATGGTCCTTTCTCTCTCGCTCTGGGTGAGCTGAGGATAGAACTTAAAGAGGAGAATGACACGAGGGATAAAAGCCTCGTGGAGAACTTAGAGAGTGTAAAAGGTAATGAAGTAATCGAAGCAAAGGGAATGATATGAATTTAGTCGGATTGATGACTGATCAGTGATTGATATAAATTGATGCAGCCGGTGCAGAAGATTATCAGTTACCGGGCGGGTCTCTATTGGTTTTGGAGGGGAATAATTGGGGTTATCCTTGCTGATGGGGGATGCCAATGATGGGGGAAGGAAATCCCAGCTGAATTGAACATTTGTATTCATTAGTTCTAGTCACCTGTTTGCCATCTTACTATATATAGTTAAGAATTTCCAGGGTTGGGCATGTCTGTGCTGAAGGATGAGGCTGTTAAGAGTTTCTAGTCTTAGGAGTGACAGAGTGGACGTTAACGCCGAAACCCTATGATTTAGATTAAGTTGTCAGCGTTGGATTCAAAAGAGGAAACTCTCTTCGTGCGTAAGTAAAATGTACGTGACGAATTACTGAGTTTGGATCGAGTCGAGTCTTTCAGTTTCTTCAGGCGCCACCGGGTTTGCTGAGGGATGCATCCGTCCGTGAGTTAGTACTTTTATGGCGGGAAGGATGATGGTGAACACTAGTTACATACATGCATACGAGATGGATGGATGGATGGATTGATTGATCAATCAATCAATCAATCAAGCAATCAGTCAAATTAATGAATTGATTCAATAGTACGGGCATAGTTATGCTTACTCACTGCCCTGAAAGTACGAAAAGGTACAGTAAGTGAGAGAGAGAGAGAGAAAGAATGTGTGTGTTGTGAGTTAGTAATCATCTACACCATCGACTATATGCACTACGCGTCTCTCCCCTTGGCCAGTTCTCACTAAAAAGTTAAGTAGATAGACTAAAGAATAGCTTCGATACTACCAAATACGCCCCAGCTGCTGTTTGGCTTGGGGGCCAGTTACTACCGTAGTAGTAGACCGGCAGGGCACACGGGATGGACATGGAATGTTCGCCGCCACTCACTCTGCCCACATCCTAGTTAGTCAGTAAGTACATCATCCAACAACCATGACTCGGTTTGATCTGGTCCGAGTGATTTTATTGATCATTTTTAGGGGATGGCGAACCACTTGTGTGCATTAAAGACTTTGTGGGAGAGACAAGACCAGTAGAGTCAGTGGTTCACAAACCACCTTGATGAATGAATGAATGAATGAATGACTGCGTGATGGAGGGTCAACTAAGCTTTTCCCCATTTGCTCTTGAAGGAAACGGAAAGTGACCCTTTGAGGGGGGAGGGGGGGTTGCCGTAATATTACGCGGTATGGGTGGGGAATGTGAGTTGGCCGCCGTATCGAATCCCCAATGCCTCACTGCGGCTAGGCCAATAGTGGCTCGGGCCAAGCCTGAGACTTTCCCCACCGTCGGGTCTGGACAAAGGTTGTATTGTGACGGAAAGATTGAGCGACCAGGGTGAGGAGTAAAGTGAGAGAGAAAGTGAGCAGAGAGTGAGAGTAGGGCAAAATTATATGAGGTAAGATATGTCAGTCAAAAAGAAAGGAGAAATACATACCCTACTCCAATATGAAGCAATATGAAAAGTACAAGAAACGGCAGAAAATAAGCTGGAAAAGGAGGTATGCTGAGAACTTGGTGAGGAAAAAAGGGAAAGCTTAAAAGAGGGAAACCAAAATAATACCACACGGGGTGTAAGGTACGGTCACAGCCACGTGACAGACCGCCTGCCTGGTCTGCAGCGGCACTTTGCCTTCTTCGAACTCCTCCTCCCCGTTTCTCTTTCCTTCTCGTCCTGAACCCAAACCCTGCGAAGCAAACGCGTTACTCGATTTGGTCATTCTCCCTCCCCCTCAAAAGCATCATTCCTCTTTGGGCATTCGTCTTCACGTCCCCCAGACTCCTTCCTTTCCTCTCTTATACCATTCTTGTCATTCACACTTCTTCTTTTTCTCCATTCTAATCTCCCCCTAGTCTCATCATGGCCGACATCACTGCCGTCGGTGAGGAGAACCCTTCTCCTACTCAGGACGACCTGCAGCAGGCCGCCGGTAACGGCGCCGCTGACAACCGCGGCACCAAGCGCTCTCGCATGAGCGCCGACGACGACGACGATGATGATGACAAGCCCGGTCGCGAGCGCAGAAAGATTGAAATCAAATTCATTCAGGATAAGTCGCGTCGCCACATCACCTTCTCCAAGCGGAAGGCGGGTATCATGAAGAAGGTGCGTGCTGTCGCGTCTCTACAGCCTCATTTCTCCCCTTCGTTATCGCCGTCAATTCTGTCGCCAACTTCAGTCTTTTCTTGATGCGTCTTTTCTCCTCGTTGTCAAGCTTGTTTTACACGTTCTCTGCGTGGAACTATTGCCGTCGGACCGGTGCTGACGCCTCAATGCGGTCGCAAAACAGGCCTACGAACTCTCTGTTCTCACAGGTACTCAAGTACTCCTGCTGGTCGTTTCCGAGACCGGTCTTGTCTATACTTTCACCACCCCGAAGCTTCAACCGCTGGTGACCAAGGCTGAGGGCAAGAACCTCATTCAGGTGAGTGCTGTGCCACTGCTTTCTCTCGTTCACTTGAGTCGAACTTAACGCGACTGACTCTCCGTTTTTCTATCAGGCCTGTCTGAATGCACCTGACCCCACTACCAACGAGAATGGCGTTGATGCGCCCGAGGTGCCGGCTGAGACGCCAGAGGATGTTAGCCACAGCAATGTCAACCCCCAACAGTCGAATATTCCCCGTCCCGCCGGTATGCACCCCGGCTACATGACGAACGAACAACAGCAGCAGATGGCCTACTACCAGGGCCTTCAGCAGCAACAGCAGGCAGGAGGACAGTATCCTGGCATGCCTGTGGGTAACCGGATGCCCCCCCAGCACCAGCCCACGGCGTAAGCGGTGGCTATGTGTCTTCATGCCCCGCGTTTTCAAGCACCTGAGGGGCCCAGGCAGTTGTTCGCATCCTTGTCAACTCCAGCGCGTGCAGCTTTCTCCTCTACGGCCTTCCTTTGATACCCAACGATTTGTTTCCAGACATAATTCATACTATTAAAACCGGTCTACAGTGTTGTACCGCCGCGCAACGCAGAACGAAGAACCGAGATATTACCTTATAGTAATCTGTGTATAGCCTGACTCGTTGGTATTGCAGTTTACACACACACTTGAGTCGCTAGCCTCGGTGTTCGCAAGATGACTCGTGCTATTTGTCGTGTTTCACCGAAGACCCTCCCTATAAAAGCCAAAAATAGCCAATGGAAAAAAGGGAAGAACAAAAAAACAAGAAAAAAGAAAAAGGAAATTGAAGGCCAGGCTGCGCGACTGAATCTTGAAGGATGCAAGAGACTTTGATCTGGGCTCCCCAGGCTATTAATTGTTTTTCTTCGTTCCTCACATCTCCTAATCCTTTTCCTAGACGACGGTGAAAGTGGCGGTGTTTCTGGTGCTTTTACCCTACTCTTTTTTTGTTTCCTTTCTTTCTCTATTCTTACTGGCGAAGTGGTTATCTGTTTTGTCTTTCATAAATTGTTGTTTCCGTCTTGCGTTGACTAATTGACCTCCCTTGATTTCCACATGTGATTTATGCCCCCTTGCGCCAGGCTCGTCACTTGCGCTTTTCCCTCCCCCTTCGACAATGATCCTTGGCTTGCGGGCAAGTTTTGAATGACGGCTCCGGAAGCAAGAAGGGGGAGAGGGGGGCGTGAGTCACGAGACAAGTTGGACGCAGAAATGGGGGGTGTTATTTGATTGAGTAACTTGATATGATGTTGGATGGATAACCTTCATCGGGTAAGAAGTATGTCATGTATGGTATGGAGAAAACCGGAACTATTATTATTTGTCCTTCTGCTGCAACTCCTATGACCCTTTTCTCAATAGAGATAACTACATACCATACCAGTAGTCAGCAGCAAGTCGTAGATCATCACTCTGCCCCTCACCCACTGCACCTTATCTATGGGTACATAGTATATGCACATCGTCATCTACCAACCCAGTACTAGAGTAGATGGTATAAAAGCAGAGCTATCATCATCCCCTAACTATCTATTTTTAACCAGAAGAAACATCTTGATGGAACCAAGCTGACAGTAGGTAGTAGAATCTCCAAAAGACAAATAGTGAGTGAAATGAACTGATGAAATGGATGGAATGGATGGAATGATACAAATGGAAGTATGAATATAGTATGCCAGCTCATCTCATCCTGTAGGCAGATCTCGTGACCTGGTATATGTTTATCCCCCTCCTCCCTATCTATCTACCCACCTATCTATATCTATCTGGGTATCCCGTGACATGACGATCCGGTTCTGTATGATGTAAGGACTAGGTATGAGGAGAAGTAAAAGTTATGAATAATGCAGGAAAAGTAGTTTTGAGAAGAAGGAATGAATGAGATATAAATTTGTAGTTTGTCCTGGACTATGTATGTATTGTAATTCTTATTTATTTAGGAATAGGGTTGTTATGCTTCGTTTAGTTAGTTTCTAGGTAAGATATGGAGTGAAGTGAATAAGGAGCGATGCTATGTAATAAGCTAGGGGAATAGGTTTGTTAGTGTATGTGTATAATAGATGAATAATGTTGGTATGGAAGTTATTGTACATTGATTGAAAGGTTTCAAGAAGAGGGTTAGGTTATCATTGATGTGTATTTAATGTGTGGGTCTAGTGGATATGATCAAAAGAGTCTGGGGTGAAATTGGACTGTGATGAAATGGCGGTGCAGTAAGAGACGGAATGTAAATCTAATTTCATTCTGTACGTCCGTCGGGACTGGCTTCGAGGTCGGGGCCCGGACTGGATGAGCTCTGTCGTCTTCCTCGTTTGCTTCCGGTCCATTGGGTGAGGTATTGAAGACCGCTTCTCCAAGCTCCGCGGAGGGTGCTCCTCGGGCCTGCGAGGAGATTCGAGTACCCAGCTGGTAATTCTGCGTCGGTGAGGGATTCGCGGCGACGATGCCCTGATACGAGGTTGTCTGAGCGGTCGTCCTGAGTGCCGTAGCCGGTTGTGTAGGGTTGGGGCTTCGAAAGGAGGTTGCGGTTCTCTGGAGCAGGTGCTGATGTTCGCCGTTGCTTGCTGCGATGTCCCTGATGTGCGGCTTGGGAGGATCTGCGCGGGTTCCAGGTATTTTGGTTGACAGGAAGGGTGCTGGAGCGGCGAGGTCCACGCAGGAAACTGCTTCTCATTCTGCTTCTTGATTGCGCCGATGGTGGATCTCCAAATGTGCGACTGCGCTTGGAGGAACGCATCATGGCTGCGGCATAGTCAAAGTCGGAGTCATCCAACTCTGCCCAGATGGAAGCTGGATCGAGATCTGCCGTGGAGTCCTGTGGACTCAAGGAGGACTGAGGTAGAGGCAGACTGGGTGCTCTCTTGTGAATACTTCGCCGAGGGATTTGAGCACTGCGTAAGAGGGGCTCACGCTCCAAGTCCTCGTGGCCGTCTCTTCCCAGGCTAAGGGGCGAGGTTTCGTGCTCCTCGACAACAGCCATTCCAGGACCCAGGCCAGTCTGAGACGGTCCGACAACAGTCACAGCCGCATGGCTGTCTATTACCTCTAAGCGCCATGATAAGCAAAGGACGCCTCCAAGTAAGACAATTGTTCCAAGCGATATCAGCCCAGCATGGAAGCCTGCCAGCTGGGACATTTGTCGGAAGTATATTAATCCATCTATGATGGCGATAATGTTATAGATGCAGAAGACAAATGGGTATAAGACACTGGTGCTGCATAGCTTCAGGCCCCGATGTAGATAGAATAGCTGAGAGAGGGCAAGGCCGATCATGGCGAGAAGAATGACCCAAGACTGCCAGCGATCGAATTGATTGACGCGATCCACGACCGTCCGAACAAGGAGCTCCACGGCTGATTTGGCGAGCAGAAGAGAATGCGCCGATAGGATTCCGCTGATCATGCCATAGCATAGACCGCGGATCAGTCGGACACGTCCGTGGGAAATTTGCAAGTGCGGCCTATATGAACCGCGTGGGTTGGGGTATTTAGAACGAGATGGGGAAGCTAGGAATTTCAGCAGGCGGGAGCCGAGATAGATGACCAGCACCAATACGGCCGTCCCTGCCATCCAAAGTATAAAATTTCGACGCTGCAATAGCTCCAAAAGCTGATCGAGAGTATGCGCTGGCTCCCCGACGGCGCCAAACAAAGCTATCAGGAGCGCGCCGATGCAGACCAAGACTGTGCCGATGAAAGAGTATCTGGTGAAGGCTTCACCCAGGATCAAAGTAGCAAAGATGGTGTTGAAAACAAGCCCGGACTGGTATAACAGATATTAGCGGTGCCCAGAAATTCACTACCCGATCTAGGGATGTCACTGACTGCTTGAAGGGTTGAAAGCACCGGAAGCGGGAGAGTAGTTATCTGGATGGTGCTGCCGACGATGTTCGCAATGACGAACATCAGCATCCCCAACTACATGGAATCAGCAAGACCGGCTTATAGCGGAAGCATTGTATAGGGAGGAGCATGAACACACCTGCCATCTCCGACGTTTATAAGGCGGTCGACGTATATCGTACGGGTGTTTCTCGTCCTCGAGGATATGCGACTTGCGTTGGAGGGTCAGCCCGATGGCCTGAAGACTGGTCGAGATCAACCCGACAACCACCCCAACCTAGAAACGCTTTCCAGTTAGCACAGAAGCTCGATGCCAATGAGACGAGAACACCGGAGGGGAAGAACAAACCGCGACACTCCCCTGGGGCGATAGGTCACCAAGATTCCCCATCTCGGATATCCTCGTGCATTGGTCGCTGAGCCGGGGGACAAAGACCAGACACGCATTAGACAGGATACGATAGGACTAGTAAGACCGACTCCATTGTCCAAAGACGACGTAGAAACCAAAAGAGAAAAAAGAAGACTAGACCGAACCGAATGGCTGTGGGGAAGAAGCAGCAGCAGCAGTAAGTAGTAACTAGAGGGGGAAAGCGGGAGAGCAAGTGAGTTCCTGAGCGGCCGCCAAGTTGCGTTGCGAATCGATCAGCAGATCCGCCCAAGTGCAACGTTTCCCTCCGCTGCTCATTGTTGCTGCTGCTTGTTCTCCCTGTATTATCTCCCCCACCCCAGTCACTCACCCTCCCCTCTCTATACATTCCTGCCGGTCCAGGTGAGTAATAATAGTCCCCGACTTGTTCTATTTCCAATAATATACCGGTCGCGATTCATGACCGTTGACTATTTCCACCCCCTTGATCTGGCGCAGTAACAGGCTGACGTTGATTGACCGCCCCCCCAAGAAAGGCACCTCCGCATCGGGAAGCTCAACTGACGTTGTCTCTCTTCCATACCCCCCACATATCGATACCCCTTCGCTCTCCCCTCTACATCTTCCCGATCTATACAATTACTCTATCATCACCATGTCGCAAAGTCATGCGTTGTCCGATGACCAGGTATGTCGCCCGATCCTCGACCAGGGACCATGCATGTGCCCGCTCCCGAGCTGAGCTCATAATCGTTATCTCCAACCAGGTTGCGGGCGAGCTCCGCAAGATGACGGCCTTCATCCGGCAGGAAGCGCTGGAGAAGGCCCGTGAGATCCAGCTCAAAGCCGACGAAGAGTTCGCCATCGAGAAGTCCAAGCTCGTCCGTCAGGAGACTGCCGCCATCGACACTCAGTATGAGAAGAAGTTCAAGCAAGCTTCCATGTCCCAGCAGATCACTCGCTCTACTCTCGCCAACCGCACCCGTCTCCGTGTTCTCTCGTCTCGCCAGGAACTGCTTGATGATCTGTTCCAGCAGGCTCGTGATCAGATCTCCGGTATCGCAGCTAAGGATGCGGAGAAGTATGAGGCTGTGCTGAAGGGCTTGGTTCTCGAGGGCTTGTACGCTCTCAATGAAGACAAGGTGTCGATTCGGGCGCGGAAGCA